TCGCAAGACGGCAATTAAAAGCTGGTAGGATAGATGGAGTCTGAGGAATGGTCCTTTTCATCCACTCGGATTTAAAGAGAACATTGGAACGGAGCGGGTCTGCGACTTACTAGTTGAGTAGGGAAGAAACTAGAGCACGATGACCCTTCAAAGGATCTTTCATGATTGTGACGCCCAGGATATCAAGCAAGTGGTCACATTCAGCGTACCTTCTAAAGATGGAGATCAAGAGGTGGCTGCTTGGGAGCCTGGACTGCAGATTGCCCATCCTCGGTCTTGGCTCACCGCGGATGGCTCAAGTTGTGAACACCGATGTCACTAGCAAGGTAAAAATCCATGCATGGCGGCCGGCGATGAATGGTCTCGTTGTGGGGGCCCAAGGTAGCCCAACATTGTCAGATAAAAATCGGTGTCTTATGTGCTGCATGTAGGAGCGAGGGGACAGTCCTTCAGAGGTTCTCGGACCTCACACTCGGGAGTGTTGGAACGGGATCAGAGAGGGTCAAGAGATGGACCATGCCCCTCCATGAGCAACAGATTAGCAACATTTGTTGCGTATATGGCTATTGGACTGGTTGGGAAGAGCAAATGAAATGGGCAGAGCAACAATACTGTTGATGAACTATCCTATGTGGGATGCGTGTGGATGGGTGTGCACATGATGGAGGCATTGTTTGGCGTTGCGGTGATATCTATGACAGTATGGCCTGGCGAGGTGAATGCGTTGATCGTTCATGAAGGTTGGACATCGGAATATAGTGGTAGTTGATTCTAGAGTGTACGCATGCGGTGTGCGCAAAGGGTGTATCTAGACTGGTCTGTACTCTCGGCTTGCCGGTGGGCGGCTTGGTGAGGCCACCGAAATATTAATGTGTGTTGATACGAGGTCAGGGCACATCATCAAGTATGTTGCGAAAGTAGTTGTCAGGAAGGTGCCTTTGGATTGATCTATGTATTTATTTTGTTGAGCTCTGTTTAAAAATATAATAAATAGTTGTGTACATCCCTAGATGCAGAGGTCGAAGTCATCCTCCATTTAGAATAAGCGTAATAATGTCCGTGAAGGAAAAGCTATTGAAGACCCAGGTACGCTGATGGGGAGAGTATGGAGGCTGCTGGATGAGTGGCAATCAATTCATGACCCAAATCCTGTGATAAAAACCCAATAAGAGCAAAAATGGAGTCCACCAGATGAGGGTTGGGTCAAAGTGAATTCAGACGGAGCGACGGACAAGCTCGGAATATCAGGCTGGCTCAAACTTCAAAGTGAATGTGGACCCAGCGACGAAGCGATCACCATGGGTCAAACTTCAAAGTGAATGTAGACGGAGGGACGGAGCGATCACCATACAGTCAGGGGCATAGCCAGACCCCGGGCTGCCATGGCCGTGGCCTGGGGCGTGAAAATGAAAACGTTTCGTTGACGATGGCCCTGGTCGTATGCACATTCTGGCTACGGCACTGCATACAGTAATGCATTGTGAGAACCCTTATTGCTTGTATCATCACACAAATCATGCCTTATTAATTTTCACAGATGTACACTGAAAGGGGGAAACTGAATCGTGATACATAATTTGAAAGTTGTTGCCTTATTCATATCGTTTTGTCCACTATTTCTTGAGTACCTCACATTGGTTGTTCGGTGCGCATGCTGGATAACCCAAATTTGGCGATGATGTGGATGTGATTGAACTCGTGATATGTGACACCACGGTACCGCGATAGGTTTTCATCGCTAAGGAACTCCTCCGCGGGAGCGATGAGGCAATCTTTGGTAGGTGTGATGAATGTCCCTAACGACGTCCGTGGCAGCGTCGTGTTGGTCACCACCCGGTGCTCGATGCTCTTAAGCATGCCGTTGGTCACGACGTGCGACAACGACATATAGTAGTAGGCTAGTAGCGATCGATCAAAACAGTCTCACCAAGTGAAAGATTAATTATTACTCCCTCCGTCCCAATAATATAAGATCGTTTTGGAGCCACCAACCAGGACTAAAGCCTCAACCCATTTAATCCCGGTTGGTGGAACGAACGGGGACTAAAGGTCTAATCTTTAGTCCCGGTTGGAGCCACCAACCGGGACTAAAGGGCATCACACCCTTTAGTCCCGGTTGGTGTCTCAAACCGGGACTAAAGGTCCCATTTAAACTGGGACTAATGCCTGCCCGCCATCCTAGCCGCTCGAATCGGGACAAATGCTCACATTAGTCCCGGTTCGTAATGCAACATGGACTAATGTGTAGATTGAGTTTGGACCAAAGCTCTGTTTTCTACTAGTGACTATTGTTCACATGATTCTGAAGGTTGGGTAACATTTGAG